CTATTACCTTATTACTGCTTACGTTATAGTAAATAGTATTCCAGTATTATTGAATCACTAGCTATGCCCGCGACTATGTTCGCGTGGTATAGTGATTTACTGCGCGTACCCCGTAGGTGACAGCGTGATAATATGCAGCCTATATGTTGACCTGGTCGCGGAGAACCTAACGGGTAACCGGGGCTCCGGCTCGACGCGCAGGAGAAGGAGCGGGGTGGTTTTTAGTCAGTAAGAGTCTGACACTCCCTCCCGCCTCACCCAGGCGAGAGCAGTCATTCGATGATATCGCCCTTAAAAAAAAAATATATGTTGACCTGACCTGGTAGTAATAATCATTCAAAATTTGAAGTAAATCCATGCAGTACTTTTTGAGTTCATCCCGGACATACATACAGACAAACAGACAAAAATTATAAAAAAAAAACATATTTTTGACTTCAGTATCGACTGTAGATCACGCCCCAAGTATTCTTCAATGTACATGTTTGACTTTTCTTCGATTTTATTATAAGCCGGTAAACGAGCAGACGGATCACCTGATGGTAAGCAATCGGCGTCGCCCATGGACACCTGGAACACCAGAGGCGTTACAAGTGCGTTACAGGCCATTTGGGGATTAGGAGTTTGAGGATCGTTGGGGATTCAGGAATCGGGGAGATTGGGGAAGGGGAGACACAACGCAAGCGTTGCTTCACGTCGGTTTTCTGTGAGGCCGTGGTATCACTCCGGTCGAGCCGGCCCAGCAGTGCCGAAGCATGGCTCTCCCACACTTAAGATGTATAGATAAACGTTGCTACCATCAGTGCGTCACTGCATGGGTGCCCACTGAAAATCAGTGCTGGGTGACTTGTATGCCTAGCTTACACTGAGTGGGTGACCCTTTTAGCATAGGTATGTCAGCGTCTCTCTTCTAATTCTTCTGCTTTAATTTTTCAACTCAGTGTTTTTATTACGTCCACTATCACACCTTTATTGTATTTTTTATATTTTATTTATGCTGCATCGTGCCTGGTGTTGAATAAATGTTTTTTCTTTCTTTCTTCTTTCATAAATTCTGTGCCAACTTCTTTAGTTTAGAAAAGGATGGAGGAGAGGAGGAGGAGGAGAAAAGGACTTTTTGATGAAGTAAGTGTTCTTAATAAATATTTCAACTTACTTAAAGTATTATTATTGTACTGAGAAAAGATTGTATTGTACTAGTAATGGCAAATCTCACCAAAGTTGACGCATATAATAAGGATTCTAAAATGGTATACCACTCCCTACATTATGGGCTGATGCCTATTCGGAGTCGCGGAGAACCTAACGGGTTACCGGGGCTCCGGCTCGAAGTGCAGAAGAAGGAACGGGGTGGTTTTTAGTCACTAAGAGTCTGACACGCCCTCCCGCCTCACCCAGGCGGGAGCAGTCATTCGATGATTTTCCCGGCTTAAAACTCCCTATATTATTTCTTCGCTTATTAATGTCATTGAAATGAGTCACAATACATGTTGACTGTATTCATTTCCTATTTTTTTTATTGTCTTATCGATTTCCGGTGCGTACCTACCTACGAAAGTATTAAATGACGTCAAAATATCGCAATGAATTCTTAGTACTTTTGATTACTAATGTCACATATAGACGCGTTTAATAAAGACCAGTCAGCAATCAACATCATCATCAACAGCCTATAAGTGTCCACTGCTGACTAAAGGCCTCTTCTCACACGGAGGTTTGAGCATTAACCACCACGCTTGCTCAATGCGGATTGGCAATTTCAAACTTATGATTAGAAATTATAAGTTTTTTTTTTAAGGGGGGAAAATCATCCATCCAAAGGCTCCCGCCTGGGTGAGGCAAGAGGGAGTGTTAATTAAGACTCTTACTGACTAAAAACCACCCCATTCCTAGGCTCCCGCCTCACCAGGCGGGAGCAGTCATTCGATGATTTTCCCCCCTTAAAAAAAAATAATAAATCCTTCGCTAGCATCGGACATCATTGTACGACACGACATCCGCCTTTATGTATTTACTCTTCCAGGAAAGAATACAAGTCTTATGTATTACGTATATCTGTTATATGCTAATCTGAACACCGATCTCCTGACAATTCATGATCGATGAATTGAATACTGCAGGTAAAATACGTATGTACACACGGCCACACATCAATCTATACAAAACCAGTTTATCCTGGTGTCGCGTCGCATCATCTTTCTGCACATTTAACGTTCCGTTTATACTGGTAATGTAAAGCTCGATTTGTAGTCGTGTGTACGTACGTCCAACGTAAATTGTATTTGATAAGAACCAAAGTCAGTGAAAGGGCATTCAAGACGGTCATTGAAAACCTACCTTCTTCGTTTGTTGAGGGGTTGCCAGGGTAAAAACAAACGAAGCCGCGAAGGACTAACGGAGCCGCGAAGGACTTAACGGGTTGCCGGGGCTCCAGATCGAAGTGCAGGAGTAGGAAAGAAGTGGTTTTTAGTCAGTAAGAGTCTGACGCTACCTCTCGTCTTACCCGGGTGGGAAAAGCCATTGGATCATTATTCGCCCTCAAAAAAAAGGGCTGAAGATAAAGTCAAAGTTAAAATCATTTATTTCAATTAGACCAGGAAGGCACTTTTGAACGTCAAAAAAATGTAATATCAATGTATCGGTCAGTTCTCCAGAAAAAAATGTGGAAGAATGAGTTAGAAACTTCATAGTTAATCTTTTTTTTATCTGGTTTCTGGTAGGTAACTATTTATGGTTTTTTTTTTCGAGTAGGAAACAAAGTACAGCTCTGAATTGGGTACATGCATGATGATACATTGTGTAACTGCCTGAATGACTATCCATTCATACATAAAATAACCTATATCACATACAAACCAACCTTCAAAAGCATGAACTTTATAAGAGCGATAAATCCCATAAAAAATATGTAGATAGCTAAACTGCTCAAGGACATCGGACCTAAAACCGTTCCTTGCGGGACGCCGCCCAAAGCACTGTACAAAATACCGCTCGACGTAGCGTTATCAGCGTTATCAACAATTATATCACCCACCTTTACACTGAATTTCGAAATAAAGATAAGATACGCATAGAAACTAGTCACAGATATTAAATAAAATTATTACATTGTGTGGTCGAGTGTCGAACGCGTCGGTGGAGTCGACGAAATTTAGGACCGTTGAAGTAGGATTTATTCCTACGGTGTGTGTTGTGAAAATGAGTTTGAAACAAATAGTTTTGTTTGCATGTGTGTTAGCTGTATCTTTGGGACAAGAATGTAAGTTTTGAACCATTATGTAACTTATTTTTAACGATAACCGTGGAGATAAGGTGAAGAAAAATGGCGGTATCGGTATCGATAAATCGATATTTCCAATTTGATTGTAGAAAAATATTACTTAGCTCTTTCTAGGACATGTTTCTTTATCTTGAACCACACCCAGCGAAAATCTGAATTCTTAAATATAACACAGAGACAAAAATATGGTATTTGTTGAATTATTTTCTCCATCTACAATTTCAAGTTAAAAAGGTGTGTCCTCAAAGAGGTTCGTTGCTAACCTTTCAATCTATATTTGAATAAGGGTATGCAGTATTACTTTATCTATAGAGCATAGTACGCCTGTGATAAAATCAAGTTCTAAATGATAAGCGACCGTTATCAGTCCGTACTCGAACGGATGCAATCCCAATTTTGGTAGGTGACTTAGATTTTCAATACCCGATTTTTTATTGCTATCCACATGTATGACTTAGGTGGCAAACATAATTAGGAAACAATGTGGACTCTGTCGGGCATAACAATATACGTTTTGGAGGGAAGGAACACATATTGACATGTCATTCGAAGAAAAGAAAATAAGTACCTACATTATTTTTATGCGTTTGTGGTACCACCTTTTAGTCGTTTAAGCTATCCTTGTACGTTTTTTGTTGTCGTGGTGGCCCGGAGGTTTAAGACGCCCCACTTCTCATGCATGAGGGTGCGAGTTCGAAACCTACCAACGGCAAGTACCAATGTGACTTTTTCCGAGTTATATGTACTTTCTAAGATTATTTAGACACCACTGACAAACGGTGAAGGAAAAACATCGTGAGGAAACCTGGACTTATAATTTCTAATTATAAGTTTGAAATCACCAACCCGCATTGAGCAAGCGTGGTGATTAACGCTCTAACCTTCTCAGTTTGAGAAGATTCTTTGCTCAGCAGTGGGCATTTATAGGCTGTTGATGATGTACGTTTTAAGAGCACTCTAAACTAAGAGGTAATTACGAAGCACTTAAACTGACTCCTGACTTGTAGTGTTAGGTGTTACTTGTAGTTCAGTGAAAACTAAGTTATCGTTAGATGTCACTATCTTAGCTTAGCGGTTCCTTATAATATAGGAGTGGTTCTTTTTAAATGGGACAAGCCCGCTACAACCTTTCAAAACCGCTGCAACTCCTGTAAGCCAGGATCTACAGTAGATACAACCATGCAAACACCGGAACACTGAAGTCCAACGTCTCAGGGACATGAGTAAACTGTCTTGGATCCCGTGAATCCGAAGATAATATTATAAGAGGAGATATTATATTATTGGAGTGGTTTGTCAAAACTGACAATAAAGTCCACTACTAGCTCATCGCCCCAGCTTCGGTCTGGTACCCATTTTCCGCTGTTCCGGGCGAATGTATCGAAGTTTTTTTTTATACAAACTCTGTCTCAACTAATACGGAGAAGGTTTGAGCACTAACCACCACGCTTGCTAAATGCGGGTTGGCGATTTCAAACTTGTAATTAGAAATTATAAGTCCAGGTTTCCTCGCGCTGTTTTCCGTCACCGTTTGTCAGTGGTGTCTAGATAATCTTAGAAAGTACATATAACTCGGAAATATCACATTGGTACTTGCTGTTGGTAGGTTTCGAACTCGCGCCCTCTTGTATGGGCGTCTTAACCTCCAGGTTACTATGGCATGTGATTTAAACTAATAATGATTAACACAAAATAAGAATTAACAAATTCGGTACAGTCATTCGACACAGTGGCATAACTACAGGGTGGCAAGTTGGTAAAATGCTACGGGCCTCGAGCTGGTTTTCATCCGAAGTTCTCTATTTTTTATTAGGAACAGCGGTCTGTCCAATAAATTTGCAACGTGCCCCGTACAGTGTATATCTACTTACGCCACTGATTCCACAATTAGATTAGGTGACGGAGCCGCAGAAGACTTAACAGGTTGCCGGGGCTCCGGCTCGAAGTGCAAGAGTAGGAACGGGGTGGTTTTTAGGCAGTAAGAGTCTGACACTCCCTTCTGCATCACCCAGGCGGGATGGCATTGGATGATTCCCCTCAAAAAAAGGTTAGGTTAGGTACTTATATGAATCCAGCCATATAGGGAGATTCACCATACATATACCTCTAGTAAATTATTCTATCTAATTTATTGCATCTTTGATTAAACTGTCAAACACCGCGAGGATACCGGTGACCGCAACCTATTGTTCTATAATTGTGTCTATAACGACGGTACTGAACGAGCTAATACGTTCAAAGTGAACGAAAAAACAACAAATACTTCTTAGATTTAATTTCAGTTACCGTCTCATTTCTCATATGTTGACTGCCTTGTTGGCTAAGTGCTTGCAACTGCGACTGCCTAGCAAGGGTTCTCGATTTCGATTCCAAGCTGGGGTAATGTATTTGCTGGGTTTTATAAAAAATCTCAGTATTAACACGGCGTCTGGAATTGTGCCCGGTACATGGGACTCATAACATAAATAGTAAAAAGTGGGTGTTACATTGTACAGTGGCATTAAGTGCCGTAATGTGCACCTCTGCCCACCCAATGTTCCAAAATCACGGTCATAACCGAGGCGTGCACATATAGGCTTGACCTTAGTCAAAGACTATGTCATTGACTTCATCTAAGTAATCCTTTAATACGTCATGAGCTAATGTTTGCGAGTACCTAAACAGTGTTTAATTTCACGTAGGTGACTCACTCTCAGCACTCCCCTATACTCCCCTAGCGCGCTACCAGTCACACAGCGTGCTACGCGCAGTAGTTACAGCTGTGTACAGTCTGTCACTCTCTCAGTCAATCAAGGGAGAGTATTATACACCTCTTTATAGAGGTAACATTGATTGCTTGACAATAATAGTTACTGAGCGACACATATTATGTAGGTAATAAAGTAATTGATAATTAATACAATTACATCAAATGATAAGATATTTCTCGAGTTGATAGTGGCACGTGATTATGATATAATTCCACTCTTTATTTTAGAAGGTACGCAAACTTAACTTTGTGGATCTTGTTCCTAAAAATAAAACATCAACATTTTTGAGAGAGGAAAAACATTGAATGGCTCCTGACATAATTCAAATATATGTAGTGGTGGCACGGAGGTTTAAGACGCCCGCTTCTCATGCATGAGAGTACGGGCTTAAAACCTACCAACGGCAAGTACCAATGTGACTTTTCCCGAGTTATATGTACTTTCTATTTAGACACCACTGACAAACGGTGAAGGAAAACATCGTGAGGCTTATAATATCTAATGGCCATAAAAGTTTAAGTTTGAAATCGCCAACCCGCATTGAGCAAGCGTGGTGATTAATGCTCAAACCTTCGCTGGTGATCAACCATCGGGTGATCTTCATCTGCTCTTTTACCTGCCTACAGATACCATAAAAACGTTTTTCATAGAGTTTAATATTATGTTTTTGATAAAGAATAACAAATATCATAAAATATACAAAACATTTGTTCTGCAATTAAACTATCTTTCTTTACATAAACATTATCTTTTTAAAACAGAGTACATATAAATATACAAATATTTAGATCGTTCCATAAACACTTGTGTTATAAATATCTGTTTATACTTGTCACAACGTGACATCGTAGTGGCCTAGAGGTTAAGACTCTCGCTTCTCATGCACGATGGTGCGAGTTAGAAAGGCAAAACCTACTATCGGCAAGTACCAATGTGACTTTTTCCGAGTTATATGTACTTTCCAAAAGTTTTATTTAATAATTTAGACACCACAACAAACGGTTAAAGAAAACATCGTGAGGAAACCTGGACTTATAATTTCTAATTGTAAGTTTGAAATCGCCAACCTGCATTGAGCAAGCGTAGTGATTAATGCTCAAACCTTCTCTGTATGAGAAGAGGCCTTTGGTCAGCAGTTGATACTTATAGGCTGTTGATGTTGTGTTGTTGTTGTGTTGATTCGTCACAAGCGAACCCCGTGAACTTCGCATCACCTTGGAAATATATTGGCGTATCTTTGTTTACTTTTTCTTATATTAGAACCTTCTAGAAAAACAGGAGTTGTAGGTACTCGTTTTGGAAGATTGTAGCGGACTTCTCCCTAATGAAAATAGTCCCTTATAGTCATCATCATCATCATCAGCCTGTATTCGTCCACTACTGGTCATATGCATCTCCAATGGCACGCCACTGAGCTCGGTCTTCAGCTCTACGCATCCAACCACTAACAGCCACTTTACGTATATCGTCACTCCACCTAGCTGGACGGCGCCCTACACTACGTTTGCCTAGTCGCGGTCTCCACTCCAGATCACGTCTACCCCAGCGGTCATCGGTCCATTGCCATTTCAGCTTGCTAATACTTTCGGCTACATCGGTAACTTTAGTTCTCTGTCAGATCACCTCGTTACGGATCCTATCCTTCAGAGAGACTCCGAGCATATCCCTCTCCATAGCTCGCTACACCATCTTAAATTGGTGGACCAGTCGCACTGTTAGTGTCCACGTCTCGGCTCCGTATGCCATTACTGGTAGGATGCACTCGTTGAAGACTTTTGTCTTCAGGCTCTGCGGTAGAGTTGACGTAGTCCCATGTAGTATCGAAAGAAATTCATATAATTATTTCCTCAGTTCGTTACTCATTGCCGCACCTAATTCTTTATCTGGTTTACTATAAATTCATTCGTCACTAAGTACATTAATGATAAGACTAGCTTACCTAGAAATCTAAAGTAACATTGTTTTCCTTGGTGGCCCAGAGGTTTAAAATGCCCGCTTCTCATGCGGCAAGTACCAATGTAAATGTGACTTTTTCCGAGTTAAGTATATGTACTTTCTTAGATTATTTAGACACCACTAACAAACGGTGAAGGAAAACATCGTGAGGAAACCTGGGCTTATAATTTCTAATTATAAGTTTGTATTCGCCAACCCGCATTGAGCAAGCGTGGTGATTAATGCTCAAACCTCCGTTTTAGAAGAGGCCTTTAGTCAGTAGTGGGCACTTAGTTATAGGCTGTTAATGATAATGGTTGTTTTTGTTCGGATAGGAGTGATAATAATTATGTACTTTATAAAGTATATTTAAAAAAAACGACTTCATTCTGAGATCTCAAGTCAGTTAAAAAAAAATTAAGCATTCAAAAAGCCATCAGACCACCACAGATGGGGCCCACTAGGGCTGATGCCGATACGGAGCCGCGGAGAACCTAACGGGTTACCAGGGCACCGGCTCTAAGTGCAGGTGTAGGAACGGGGTGGTTTTTAGTCAGTAAGAGTCTGACACCTCCTGCGTCACCCAGGCGGGAGCAGTCATTCGATGATTTTTCCCACTTGCTTAAAACCTCTGACCGATAAAGCAGCCCTCTAGTCTCGAGATACGTCGACCAGGCGTTTTTTTTTATATATTCTGTTTTTTAACTTGACTAGACTGCCTCGTTGACCAAGTGTTCGCAAGTACGACTACCAGGCAAGGGGTCTCGAGTTCGATTCCCAGGTCGGGCAAAGTATTACTGGATATTTAAAAAAAAATCTCAGTAGTAGCACGGAGTCTGGAAATTTGCCGGGTATATGGCAATGAAGTGGCATGAAGTGCCGTAATGTGTACTCATCACGCCTTTTTACATAGGAGAAGGGGTAGGCAGAGTACCCCTTTGGGGTTAAAAAGGCGTGATGATTGTTATGTTATGTTTTTTAATAAACATTTATATAATGGTTTTATTTTGTTTGCAGACCGAGTATGCGTCACAAATGGAGTGGTTCCAGCTTCATGCAATAGTTTGAGTATTAACGGCGGCCGGTTTATGTGTGAACGCGTGGAATCCAGGTAAATATGTAAACATTTCCAGAGATGAAGTAGTAGTGGAAGCAGCCTATGTTTTATCCCTTCCTTAATCTAATCCGTTTAAATGTGGGAGAGCCATGCTTCGGCACGAATGGGCCGGCTCGACCGGAGTGATACCACGGCCGAGCAGAAAACCGACGTGAACCAATTACAGCGTTGTGTTTCGTCGTGTGCGTGAGGTTACCGGAGACCCAATTACCCCCTCCCCAGACTCCCGGATCCCGAAACCTCCACAATCCTCAAAAGGCCGGTAACGCTTTGGTGTTCCAGGTGTCCATGGGCGACACCGATTCCTTACCATCAGGTGATCCGTCTGCTCGTTTACCGGCTTATGCCATAAAAAAAGACGGATCACCTGATGGTAAGCAATTGGCGTCGTCCATGGACACCTGGAACACTAGAGGAGTTACTAGTCCAATACAGGCCTTTTGGATTTAGGATTTTTTAAATATTTAATGGGCCGATGTGTGACCAGTATCTCGCCTGGTGGTAAGCGATGATGCGGTCTACGATGGAGCACGTCGTCCCATAAGCAACCTATTCAATTAAGCCTTGAAGACTCCCAGGTTATATATACCCTTCAGGAAACACAGACTCTGGCAAAGAATTCCACTCCTTAGCAGTACGCACAAGGAAGCTTGATGCGACGCGGTGCGTGTGGGTGGGACATCTACCATGAATCGGTGACGCTTCGCCGATTGTCTAGTGGTACGAAGATGGAAAGTACTATGGGGAAACAAGTTGTGCCATTGTTCCGCACACTCACCGAAATGCATCCTGAAGGGCTTCGGGAATTAAATGAATTAATAAGCTTTTTTGATAATAACTATCGTGAGACATACTAAACTAAGTAAAAACGCGGGTGACTCACGTGAATATACTGAGAAAAGCTCTACTAGTTTCGAACCACAGAGGGGTTCTTCTTCATGAGCAGCGTGCGCGGTCGCCGCGACTAAGTAGTAGAGGTACTAAGAAACTAGTAGAGCTATATTCACGTGAGTAACCCGCGTTTTTACTTAATTAACTCGTCGAGTACCGTCATTATAGACACAATTATAGAACAATAGGTTGCGGTCACCGGTGACCGCTTGGTGTTTGACAGTTTAAGCTTTTTTGACGTATGTATTTTAATTTTTAAATTTTGTCTCGCAGGGTGGAATGCGCGGAGAAGTTAGCTAAGAAAGAAGCAGATGTAGCTTACTTCACATCAGAAGAAACTTTACTTCTGGCGCATCAACAACCCACTGACAGTAGAGTAATTGCTACAGTCAGACATATAGAGAACCTTGGTAAGTGTTTACTACAGAATAGGGTTTCGGAGTCGCGGAGAACCTAACGGGTAACCGGGGCTCGAGCCAGAGCCCCGGTTAATGAAAAAATATTAGACACGTATGTTTTTTATTTTGTCGTATTAAGTTGCAATACTTAGATAAAATGGCGCTAAGTTTATGAGTGCGAGGTTGTTACGTCATAACGTGCTACAAAATGTGGCACGCTGTGACGTCACACGATACTTCAAATTAATATATCGTCGAAAGTAATTAATTTTGTGAGAAAAGAAAAAATACGTGTCTAAAGTTTTAAATTAATGTACCAGACGAACATTAAAATAAAATCTAGGAAACTACCCTATTCTATACTTTTTTTTAAGGGGGGGGGGGGAATCATCGAATGACTTCTCCTGCCTGGGTGAGGCGGGAGGGAGTGTCAGACTCTTACTGACTAAAAACCACCCCATTCCTACTCCTGCACGTCGAACCGGAGCCCCGGTAACCCGTTAGGTTCTCCGCGACACCGAATCGGCAGAGAGAGAGAATGGAGACTTACTTCTTGGTATTTTATTATATTTTCTTTCCACAGAGCCTTACGACTTCGAGGCAGTGGCCGTGGTCCCTATCAATCACACCAATGGTTTGGAAGGTCTCCGCGGTGGAGTATACTGCCACCCAGGCTTCGATGTTGAAGACTCCAAATGGTCTCTAAGAGTATTGAAGACCCTTGAGCAACAGGCAAGTAGACGCAAACCGTGTTTTTTTATGGCATAAGCCGGTAAACGAGCAGACGGATCACCTGATGGTAAGCAATCAGCGTCGCCCATGGACACCTGGAACACCAGAGGCGTTACAAGTGCGTTTCCGGGGGTTAGGAGTTTGAGGATCGTTGGAGATTCAGGAATTGGGGAGATTGGGGAAGAGGAGGGTAATTGGGCCTCTGGTAACCTCACTCACATGACGAAACACAACGCAAGTGTTTATTTATTTATTTATTTATTTATTTATTTATTTATTACAGTCACAACGGTTGATAACAAAACCAATTAAAGTAACTGGACACATTAATAAAATAACGGTGAAATAATAAAACTAGAACAAAACATACACGAACCAGAAGAGTAAAACTTATTTAAAAAATGGTAGCATTCATAAGTTCCTCTCGCAGTACTTCAGGCATTCCGATAAAATTTCCTTCCATCCGTCCGCAAACAGATCACTAGTTGGATTGGAATCCAAGAGACCATTGAGCGCGGCCAGAGTGCGAGGAATCGGTGCTTTAGCACGTGCTACGGTACGACATGAGGGCACGGCAAACAATCTGTGCTTTTTACCCCGGCAGTAATTGTCTGGAACGTAAAAAAACGTGATAGTGACTCCAGTATGTCCGGAGCGTAAAAAAAGCCACGGAGGGTTTTACAGGCTACTACAAGTTGGTTTCTTGCTCTCCTTACCTCTAGTGAGTTATATCCAAGACTACCCAATAAAATTTTTGTCGGATAGAGGTAGGGATAGTAACCGTGCATTCGCTTGTACAAATTCCTAAGAAAAGCTTTTTGAACTTTCTCTAAGAGTAGGGAGTAGGTACTTTCGTGAGGATTCCACACACACGAGCTGGTTTCCAACTTACTACGAACCAGAGCATTAAATATGATCTTAATGGCATGAGCGGTGCGAAAATCACGACAATTACGTAATACAAAACCTAACCTTTGGAAGGATTGCTTTGCTATAGTGTTGCTTCACGTCGGTTTTCTGTGAGGCCGTGGTATCACTCCGGTCGAGCCGGCCCATTCGTTCCGAAGCTTCCGAAGCATGGCTCTCCCACACTTGAAGTATAGTAATACAACTTGGCAAAAAAGCGTTTGACGTAGTGTCAGCTGGAACTAATGAAGTTGGACGGAATCACCCACTTCGGACCATATCCCATGAATAAAAAATCAACCGAACAAAGTACCTTCTCTTTTCAAACTCGATACAAATAACAAATATCAAAACCGATTGAGTCGTAGTGTACCAGATTGCCACAGGGACGATACTAGCGACCTCTATTATTCCAAACCCATTTTTGCCAAGCTGTACGTACGCTGCGCTAGGGCGCCCTCTACCGGCTTCAACAACAACGACCAAAACCTCAATCACATTGCAAAATAAAATACAATTATGTGGTTTGATGTTAGTTTTCTGTGAGTCCCATTCGTCCTGAAACAGGTATAATAGGGTAGGTTCCTAAATTTTATTTTAATGTCCGTCTGGTACATTAATTTAAAACTTTAGACACGTATTTTTTCTTTTCTCACAAAATTAAATACTTTCGACGATATATTAATTCGAAATATCGTGTGACGTCACAGCGTGCCGCATTTTGTAGTACGTTATGACGTAACGACCTCACCCAAACTTAGCGCCATTTTATCTAAGTATTGCAACTTAATACGAGAAAATAAAAAAATACGTGTCTAATATTTTTTCATTATCTAACCGACGGACTAATTAGATTTGTAATTTTGATACCATGGAAACTACCCAATTCGCCTACCTGGAATCCATACGCCATGACACTTTGGCAATACAATTAATATTGGTCATGCAAAACAAATATGACTCTCCAACCTAGGACCTACACTTCTAGATACTGATACTTTAGCCATACGAAGATTCTTTTTTATTTGAAGGGCCAACGTTTGACCACTATCTCGCTTTTTTTTTAAGTTTATTGAGACTTCGTTTAAACTCGTAATTTTGCTTTACCCAACAGGCGGCTCGTACAGACAGATGCCAGGATGCCAACACAGCCGGCAAAACCGCTGAGGAGATGGAGGTGGACACCCTAAGCAACTTCTTCTCAGCAGCCTGCAGGCCAGGAACCTGGAGTAGCAATGACACCGTCGATGCTAACCTAAGTAAGTCTATGTTACAGGTACATTTGGAAGCCAAGAGATGGAGCCACTAGCGTATATAACTTCCAAAACAAATATTCATTTTACAACAAATTGCTCTTATTTTAAAGGTAACTAAATTGCCTTCTATACGATATATATTACCAATTAATAAAATACTGGTATTAGAAAATATTTATCGAGAAATTAAAAAGAAAAAATGGTAGTGGCTCCGAGTCTTTGCTCCTTTATTTTTTAATGGCGTAGGACCGCAAACGATCTGTCGGTTCACCTGGGTGCTTACTCTTGAAACCAATCTTAATGACAACGCAATTTCAATCCAATAAAATCTCAATAATTATTCAATGTCAACACTATACAACCCTTATCGTAGCTGATAAAATAGCATTCAGAGTACGAAATTTAAAGCCAAACTCAATACTATTTAGTTCATTCAATATTCACGCAATACGGATGCAATGGACGCTAGTGTTGCAACTCAAGAGTACGAAATTTCACAATACCAATGTCGATCGATCGGAATTGGATTCAGGAGTAAGGCCCCTGATGGTAAGCAATCGGCGTCGCACATTAGGGAAGCTACAAGTACATCGTTGGCGGTCTCAACAGTCAATAGTTTATCGGGGATCTTTTGGGGGGTTATAGATTAGAGGCTGGGGGCTTTGGGGATCGGTGATGGGGGAGGGGAATTAGGCTTCCGATAACTTCTCTCAGTCGATGTATCACAACGTTAACGTTGTTCCACACCGTTTTTTGTGAGGCCGTGGAGAATGAAGATGGATACTTCCCCGGTCGCTGTAACACATTCGGGTTGCATAAAGCAGAGAGGCTCTATACTCTATTGCCATATTAAGTTGACTACATGACTATATTTTTTTATGGGATAAGACGGTCAACTAGCCGACGGATCACCTGATGGTAAGCAATCAGTGTCGCCCATGAACACCTGGAACACCAAAGGCGTTTCAAGTGCGTTACCCGCCTTTTGGGATTAGGAATTTGAAGATTATTGAGTATTTAGGGATTAGGAAAGGAAGAGGTGGAGTAATTGGGCTTCGGGTAACCTCACTTACACGAGGAAACACAACGCAAGCGTTGTTTCACGTCAGTCTTCTGCTCGGTCGTGGTATCACTCCGGTCGAGCGCCACATTCATGCCGAAACATGGCTCTCCCACACTTAGAGTTACATAATGAGTTTCTTAACAGAACTTACTCTCATCAGTTTTAGTCATAACAACAGTGAAAGAATCAGTTATAAATACAATTAAAAATAGACAAGGAATCAATAGATTGCGGGGGTGCGCGGTGAGGGGACCACGCGCATGCGTGTCGCGGTGGTGTCACAAAGACCACACCTTATAAAGCACGCTATACAGGACGTTTGCAATGATGACTATATTTTTTTCTGCTGATTAGATGGCGCTGATGTAGCATGTCCTGTTGAAAATAGTAAAGACTTGGCTCATTAATTAGAGAATTCTAAAAAGGCCGGTAAAGCATTTGTAACGCCTTGGTGTTCCAGGTGTCCATGGGCGACGCCGATTGCTTATCATCAGGTGATCAGTCTGCTCGTCTACCGGCTTATGCTAAAGGCCATTACAATAAAATCATTTTAACTTTTTTCAGAATCCCGCTACCCATCCCTCTGCAGCCGTTGTGGACCCGATCCCAGTTGTTCAAGATACACGCTGGATATGGGCGTAGCAGTGGCTGGAGCCAACAACGATAACCGTCACATCCAAGCCTTGGAGTGCCTGAGGGTCAATGGCAATGCTTCCAACACCGCCGTGGCGTACGTTGCGTGGCAGCATGTTAGACAGTTCTTCAGTGTAAGTTATTTATCTTCTAGCTTCTGCAGCTGCTTTGCCTAGGGGATAATAAGTAACCTATGTGTTATTCCAAACCATAATCTATCCCTGTTCCAAATTTCATCCCGATCCCTTCAGCCGTTTGCACGTGATTGAGTAACAAACATACATACATACAGACAAAGACACAAACTTACATTTTGTAATATTATAATAGGAAGTAAGATACAGCGTGTATCACAAATATGGAATATTCTATACTAATATTATAAAGCTGAAGAATTTGCTTTATTGTTTGCTTGTTTGAACGCGCTAATCTCCAAAACTACAGGGTGCTTACTCTTGAAACCAATCTCAATGTCAATGCAATTTCAATCCAATAAAATCTCAATAATTATTCAATGTCAAAACTCAATACAACCACAATCGCAGCTGTTAATATAGCATTTAGAATATGGAATATAAAGACAAACTCAATACCATTTAGTTCATTCAATATCCACGCAATACAGATGCAATGGGCGCTAGTGTTGCAACTGAAGAGTACGAAATTTTACAATACCAATGTCGATCTATCGGAATTGAATTCAAGAGTAAGCCCCCTAGTCCGATTTGAAGAATTCTTTCTGTGTTGGTTAGCCCATTTATCGAGGAAGGCTATAAAATATCACGCTACGATTATTAGGCGCCGAGCAGAGCGAGTGAAACCGCGCGGAAGTAGCTAGTATTGCAATAAACACCACTGTTAGTGTTCACCGAAAAAAAAAATTCGCCAGTACGCGTCCGTTCATCATTCCTAGTGGAGTCTAGAACATTTTTCAGTGCGTTTAGGCGTTTTTGTCAAACCTATTATTGGAAGCAAGTATAACAGCTCACACATAAGACCCACTTAGTTTTTAGTCTTGGCGCTTGGCGACTGGGCTTCTCCCAGTTGTACAGTACAGTTCTTTTTGTGCTTTTAGGTCTAATTCATTCTATCTCCTGCAGTTATTCACCGAGGGAAGTAGAAACTATCGTTTTTTGTCTTCTCCTCTTATATATCTTCTGATTTATTTCGTTGCGGTAACAAAGACAGCTATTCATGTCCCTGGGAAGCGCCAGACTTCAGTGTTCCGGTGTTTTCATGGTTGTATCTACTGTAGATCGTGGCTTACAGAAGTTGCAGCGGTTTCGGGAGGTTTTGGCGGGCTTGTTCCAATAAAAAAAAAATGTACGCGTCCATTTTACGGTGTGGACTGGGCATAATAAACATCTTGTAAGGCAAACTTTATAGGATGCAACCTTCGTGGCACCACCGCGACACGCATGCGTGAGGCCTCCTCACCGCACAGACCCCGCTGCGCTGTATCGATTACTGCCCCTTGCACAATTGTTCTTATACATATTTGATGTTTGAAGACTGCCTAATTATGAGAATAGTCGTTGTTACAATTAAAAAACGGTTTAGAGGACATTTATAAATACATTTCAATATATAAAGTCATGCATTTGTTGTCATAAAGTGTTCCTCTCGCGTGTATTTTGTACACACGGGTGTACGAGAAACGCGTACCGATTGGATATTTTTCTGTGACGTATATTTTCAAGTTTGCAACCCGTTCTTTATTTGATTGAACAGAATAGTTAATTCGATTTCTATTAAAATATGTACCCGCGTGTACAAGAAACGCGCGTTTACCCGTGGGTACGAGAGGCGTACTAGAGGGAGGACGCTTAGGGATTGTAACTTTTACGATCATTTTCATTTTCAGTTTAGGTATTTTGATATACAAAAGTTTCAAATGATATTTGTTAATATCCCTAGTAACGTCTGTATAGCCGATCTTAACTTTTACACGCCTGCGTCAATTGATTTGATAATACCGCTGATATTTTTTGTAATGTTCTAGGATCACAAAGGTTAAGCAATCACTTCAGAACGTCTAGTTCTTTAGATGAAAATTTACACAATTATTGTCTATTTAACAAGACGTCCCTGCTTGCGTAGTAAAAGGCGTTTTTAATGTCAACCTATAAATTGACCTCACCTTTGTTGCTGTTTCAAATTTGGATAGGGGCATGTACCGCAGCCTTGCAGCACCCTTTTTATGGCATAAACCGGTAAACGAGCAGACGGATCACCTGATGGTAAGCAATCGCCGTTGCCCATGGATACCTGGAACACGAGATGCGTTACAAGTGTGTTACCGGCTATTTAGGGATTAGGAGTTTGAGGATCGTTGGGGATTCAGGTATTGGGGAGATTAGGGCAGGGGAGTGCGATTGGGTCTTCGGTAACCTCACTCACATGATGAAACACAACGCAAGCGTTGCTTCACGTCGGTTTTCTGCTCGGCCGTGGTATCACTCCGGTCGAGCCGGCCCATTCGTGCCGAAGCATGGCTCTCCCACACTTAAAACAATCAAAGCCAAATTGTGAAGGTTGGAATTTGCTGGACAACGACTGGTTTTATTAGAAGTGGTCTATTTCATTTCTATTCTGGAAACGCGGCTATAGTCGCTATTGAAACTAGTAGGTAATATTAAAATAGATTATATTCTATAGAACCACGTGGTTTACACAACAAAAGCAATTGGTCCCACGCTTTTCAAAAGATCGATATTGCGGGGGTGAGGGGTGCGGGATTCTCGCGCATGCGGGTCGCGGTGGTGCCAAAAAGACCGCACCCTTGACGGCATGCTACAAACAAAGAAAATGTTATTTATATCAAGAAACATATACCTATCTAATTATAAGTTTGAAATCGCCAACCCGCATTGAGCAAGCGTGGTGATTAATGCTCAAATCTTTTCAGTGTGAGAAGAGACCTTTGCTCACCAGAGGCCACCATCATATAGGCTGTTGATGATGATGATGATGATGATTAATGCACGACTGCACAGTTGGTGCTGGTGGCTGGGCAACCGGCTGCCGTGCAAAGTATCGCGGGTTCGATTCCCGCACGGAACAATACTTTGTGTGATCCACAAATTGTTTGGTGTCATTGTGTATATGAACTTGTATGTTTGTAAACGCACCCACGCCACAGGAGAAAATCCTAATGTGGGACAACGTTTTTTTAAAAAAATAAAATAATTAATTATCACTATTTTTTTTTTAAAAAAACAACCCCAATGACGCCCCGTTCTATGCGGTGCTCTGCCCCAATGGTACGCTGGCCCCCCTGACCACTGACACCCTGAACAATGCCATCTCACCATGTTCTTTCGTCCGTCAACCTTGGGGAACCATTGTAGCCGCTACGTAAGTCATCAAATCTTACTATTTCCGCGCTCTTCTCGGCGCCTATTTTATATTTATATTTTTTTAAACGCGCTAATCTCCGGAACTAATAATCTGATTTGAATAATTCTTTTTGTGTTCGATAGTCCATTTATCAAGGAAGGCTATATGGTATAAAACATCACGCTACGAACAATAGGAGATGAGCAGAGCCGGTGAAACTGCGTGAAAGTAGCTATAGTCCATCTGTTTAGGTAATTAACTAAAGGTAAACAAACAAAACCACGTGACACAGAGATACTTAACCTTCTATTACTTCAAATATTTCTCGTGTTTTAATTTAAACTAAATTCACTTTAAAATCGTTCATTTGTCACACACACACATACAAGCACAAATGCCTAAATCGTACAAGAGCCTAGCCTATGGGTCTATTTCATTATCATGTTTAAATAGAAACTATTCTGAATCTAATGTACGGATTTCTTTCTTGTATGGATATGTGTCTTTGGGCCAAGTTTCTTCAATATATTTGAACACATTAATTACAAACGATGAATAACCTAAACTTAAATAACTTAATAACAAAAACAAAACAAAGAAACAAGATAAATTCAACAAAATAGGAACGCGAGCGCAAACGACGAGAGAGCTGTCAATGGCGCCTGATTAACCGACTAAACGTAATACACGCTACTTTCATTGTCGCGCTACATCTTAATTGTACTCTTTGATTTGACAACATTATCTAATAATAATTTCTTATAGAAAGGTTTTGGATACCTGGGATTTTAGGCTCTTTATGGTGTCTATTGTAATGAAATATTATATTATTTAATAAATGTTATTAAATTATTATGCTCAAGCAGATATATATAATATTTACTAAGAAATAAGTGAAAAGGAACAGAAACATAACATTTAATAGAGAAAGGTGTCGTAATAATGGAAACAATTTTATTTTCTTATGAAGTATTTTGAATCATGGAAATGTCAACTATAAAGAACTCTTTTTATGGTTTGTTTACAAATAGTTAACTACCTAAACAGACGGAGTATAGTTATATCATATTTTTCAATGCCCGTAGACAGATGTGTTCATAATACAATGTAATATCCAGTTTTCACCAGTTATGTCATGAGTCCCATGTACTAGGAACTTAAGCTGCTGTTGAATTTGTGAATTCGAAAAATTAAATGTTTTGTTATAGCAATAACTTTGAATATTTCTGTATTTTGCTAAGCGCGCCATCTATTGAGGTATCGTGCAAATCTTCATTACCCGTATGCGGCGATAGATGTCGCTATTCTACTTACTCGTCAGTGAGATAGATGTCACTACAACTACAACATCATAATTTTCATTAAAAGAAAAGTGAAAGACCCATTTCTTATTGAAAAGTAATATCTTGATATTTAGCATCATTATTATTATTGTTTTAACTGGATTTTTTAACTGATTTAATGACTTTTACTTACAGAGACAATGCAGCTGCCGTCCTTCTAGCCTTGAGGACCGCTTGGCCAGCAGGATCAAACCCTGGTAGCTCTTGGCAGTCAACGCTATTCACCATGTTAGCTGGCCCAGCCACCGCTCGAGTGATTTACGAGGACGCTCCTGTATCGCCATTGGATTTTACTTCCTCATGTAAGTTACTTCTTTATTATGTTTATATTATGTAAGTATATAGCTTAGTCGTTTAAGGCCTGTCAACGACTAGTACCAATGTGACCTTTTCCAAGTTATAAGTATTCCCTAAAATTATTTAAACACCACTGACAAACGGTGAAGGAAACATCGTGAGGAAACCTGAGCTTATAATTTCTAATTATAGGTTTGAAATCGCCAACCCGCATTGAGCTAGCGTGGTGATTAATGCTCAAACCTTCGCCGTGTGAGAAGAGGCCTCAGGTCACTTATAGTCTGTTGATGATATTAGTAAGATAAATATTATGTCATTTCGGTTACAGTCCGTTCAATCAGCAATGCTGACGCCAGTGCGTCCTGCATGCCCGCTCGCCGCTGGTGCACCGTGTCTGAAGCAGAATTGGCCAAGTGCAATTGGGTGAGAGGTGCAGCTCATATTCTGGGTAAGATAATATTTTATGTATATTTCTTTATCATTAATATTTATAATGAGCTCAATTTCACCAATCAGGCCCTTTCGTTAGAAATCCTTATTGGAGGTAGTGCAAAGAAGTATTTGATTATGTTCTCCTCTGTTTACCTCTTTGGGGATTAAGGGTTAATAATCTCTCGTTGATTATTTAGATACCACTGACAAACGATAAAGGAAAACATCGTGAGGAAACCTGAGCTTATAATTTATTTCTTATTAGAAGTTTGAAATCACCATCCCGCATTGAGCAAGCCTAATGATTAATGCTCAAACCTTCTCCGTGTGAGATGAGGACTTTGCCCAGCAGTGGGGAAATGTAGGCTGGTGAGGAATATGATAAATTTCCTTCAAAGTCGGTTTTTTATGGCATAAGCCGGTAAACGAGCAGACGGATCACCTGATGGTAAGCAATCGGCGTCGCCCATGGACACCTGGAATACACCAGAGGCGTTACAAGTGCGTTACCGGCCTTTTGGGGAATTAGGAGTTTGAGAATCGTCGGAGATTCAGTAATTGGGGAGATTGGGGAAGGGGAGGGTAATTGGGCCTCCGGTAACCTCACTCACACGACGAAACACAACGCAAGCGTTGCTTCTCGTCGGTTTTCTGTGAGGCCGTCGTATCACTCCGGTCGAGTTGGCCCAGCAGTGCCGAAGCATGGCTATCCCACACTTAAAAATTATATATTTTTTGCTGCAGGTATCCAGCCTTCTATCACATGTCTGAGAAGGAACACAGTCCTGGACTGTCTCTCTGACGCCAAAGCTGAACAAGTTGACTTCCTGGCAATATCTTCCACCTACGGCTACTTGGCTAGACAGTAAGTGCTTTTTGGGATACAGATGCGAGCAGATAGACCACCTGATGGTAAGCAATCAGCGCCGCCCATGGACATTTGCAACGCTAAAGGAGTAACACGTGCGTTGTTGGCTAACTAGGTATTCTGTAGCTGTCAATTCGACCTTTGAAGAGAGCTCAATCGCGTTCGCGCCCGTCAATGGTTGAAGTTATTTTTAGAGGTACAACTAATGATATGGTGGACTGCGAACGACTTCACTACGATCTTTCGAATTGAAAGTTGCAGCTTATAGCGTATGAGAAACAGTGAGTATGGAACGCCTGAGGTACCTGATTTTAAATTCCAAATTATACATATATAGAGGTAAATAACATCACGCCTTCTATCCCCGAAGGAGTAGGTAGAGGCATTGTAATATGGCACTTAATGCCATTGTACAATGTAACACCCACTTTTCATTGTTTATGTTATGAGTCCCATGTAATTGGGGGTGAGCCTTTTACCATATACCGAGTACAATTCCATACCCCGTGCTACTACTGAGATTGTTTTTATAAAAACCCTGTAATATTTTGCCGGACCCGAGAATTGAACCTGAGACCACTTGCTTTTTTTGTCCTATCTTATTATTGTTTAGCTGTTGGTAAAAACTTATCTACTATCATTAAGTAATGAAAAAAGCGAGGATTTTTTGATTGTCATTAAATAAATAATATATGCAAGTATAAAGTTAGTGTTTCCTAACTTATGTATACATACATAGGTTTTGTAATATTGGTGACTGCAAAAATAATATTGTTAAGGCTTAGTTATATTATCCTAATGTATAATGCACGCGACCACAAAGCCTGTGGTACAGATTTAATTCTATACAGGCATTGGATTGTAACCCTACCTAGAATAGTTAAATAATAAGCTTAGGTTAAGTATATGTGAACAAAATGGAAATGAATATATTTGTTTGTTTGTTAAAAAACGCTATAATTATCTAACGTTACTATGGTCTTCTAACCCTCGATTTCTTTCACCAGGCACTACCAGCTAACTCCAGTAAAATTGGTTCAGAACCAATTTGCCAACGCGACCAAGATCGCAGCTTTCGTTAAGGAATCGTCTGTCGCTTCTGGCAACCTCACCCGCTTCGAGAACCTTCGAGACAAGAACGCCTGCTTCCCTGAATTTGGTGGACTAGGTAAGGGTCTTTTATGGTCACGGGCCTGCGAACGACGAACACGGGTGACTCGCTGTCCGACCAGAACCAGATCCGAACGTACGGCGCGTCGCGTTCCACGCATTCTTCAATGAGCCATCAGATCACCACAGATGATGCCCAACAGGGCTAATACCGATACGGAGCCGCGGAAGACTTAACGGGTTACCGGGGCTCCGGCTCGAAGTGCAGGAATAGGAACGGGGTGGTCTTTAGTCAGTAAGAGTCTGACAATCCCTCTCGCCTCTCCCGTGCGGGAGAAGTCATTGGATGATTTTTCCCCCTGAATAAAATATTATGGTACCTATTCTATAACTACTGAGCTAATGAATTACCTGATGGTAAACTATTGGTGTCGCCCATGAACAGTCGCAACTAATAGGCGTTTTTGCCATACATATTATCAGAATAGAAGCAACTATACCAGCTCATCCATTCTCCCAGTTGTACGGTCTCTCTTTGTGCCTTTAGGCTTAATTCATACTGTCTTCTACAATAATTCACCGAGGCAAGTGGAAACTATCGTTAAAAAAATTAAAATTTAAAATGATTTCTGATTTATTTCGTTGTATCCAAGGCAGTTACTTAAGTCCCTAGGACGCACCGGACTTCAGTGTTTCGGTGTTATCATGGTTGCATCTACTGTAGATCCTGGCTTACAGGAGTTGCAACGGTTTTAGGAGATTGTAGAGGACATGTTCTATATAAACAAGGGCACTCGCAACTGGTTATTGAGTCGATGGTTTACAGCTGATGGTAAGCTATCGGTGCGGCCTATGGACACCAGGAACACTAGAGCAATTACAAGAGCGTTGTCAGGGGAATTGGGTTTCTAAAATCCTTTGATACTTGACTCTGGTCAAATTAAAGATTATGTTTTTTTTTATTTTCAGCGTATGTGTCATTCGTGAGAACTGGACATGAGAGGGGAATTTTGCCAACATCTGAATGCGACTATGCGCGCGTTGTCGGCGAATTCTTCGGCGGTGCTTGTGCTCCCGGCGCCATTGATGCCTCTTTCGCTCTCTCTGATTCTTCCGTTAGTATATTAACTTTTATCTTTCTTAATTTTAATTATTTGGTGATCATCTCTCTCTATCTTGACTGCACGGTTGGTGCGGTGGCTCGGCAATCGGCTGCCGCGCAACGTGTCGCGGCTTCAATTCCCGCACGGAACAACACTTTGTGTGATCCACAGATTGTAGTTCCGTGTCTGTGTGTGATGTGTGTGTGAACTTGTATGTTTGTAAACGTACACACGACACAGGAGACAATACTAGTGTGGGTCAACGTTTAAACTATCTCCTTTCCAACAAAAAAAAAAAAATTTTAAAATCGGTTCATAAACGACGGAGATATCGGCGAACAAACATAAAAAAAGCATATATACGGTCGAATTGAGAACCTCCTCCTTTTTTTGAAGTCGGTTAAAAATATCTTAATAAGTTTTGTTCTATTACAGAGTTTCAATTCATCCAGATTGTGCACAGCTTGCCGAGCTACGCCTGGTATGGTCAACATCCCTGACCGTAAGTAGTTACATATTTTTTTTAACAAATTTATTTCTTTGCCTTAAATCTAAACTCGACAAACTTGAACGTTTGATGGCGAGAAAAGATTTGTTTTGCGGATCACCTGATGGAAAGCAATCGTCGCCCATGGACACTCGGAACACTAGAAGCGTTATAAATGCCTTACCGGCCTTTTGAGTATTGTTTATGAAAGACCAGCTCCTTTTGGGGATTGTTTATGAAAGACTCGCTCCTGGGATAAAAAGCCTATGGTGTTATTCCAGACCAGAATCTCCCCCTGTTTCAAATTTCATGCCGATCTCTTCAGCTGTTTTGATGTGAAAAAGTAAAAAACTTACATACACATTTTCACATTTTTATAATATTAGTTTCTGTAAAACATTCTGTAAAATACTTGGCAAGTCTCGATGGAGCGTCCTCTCGATCATCTAAAAAGTAATGAAAGCAAGACAAAATCGCCAAGTCTAAAGTTCCTTACTGCGATTTTTTTATTATTATAGTTAATGTTGTGTGACTCGGACGTTGAACCGCTGAAGATGGACAATTAGCTAGTTTCCTAGGTTTAAAATAAATTGTTTCAAATTTTCAATGCGAAAGATAATAAAAAAATAATCATACTCTCGTCCATTGATTTGACAATTTACCTACGTTTGGATTTTTTCACGCTAATTTTAAGGAAATAAATAAGCTATTTGACGCAGAAATATGATGACGTCATAAGTTGCGATCCAATACATGTTTGACAGTTTAAACTGTCAAATACCAAGCGGTCACCGGTGACCGCAACCTATTGTTCTATAATTGTGTCTACAAAACCGGTACTCGACGAGTTAATAAACAACGGTTCTAGCGACTGATTGGTGCAATGGTGTCTTGCACCAGCTTTTGCACCATTGTGTACCCTTCAATTCAGATCTGATTAAATTTTATGTAATACTAGCTTTTTCCCGCGGCTTCGCTCGTGTCATAAAAGGATAAAAAGTAGCCTATGTGACATATACCAATATACACAGCGCCATCTATACCAATACATTTATTTTTCCCTCGGGAATATCAATTTTTTCCGGGATAAAAAGTACCCTATTATTTAATCTGGACTTATAACTTTACGTCTGCAAAAAATCAAAGCAATCAGTTTAGTAGTTACGGCGTGAAAGCGGAACAAACAAACAAACAAACTCATTTTCCGATTCATAATAGATATATATTATAGTAAGGATTTGAAATTTTTCCAGCGGTCTGCACCTGGGATTACAACACAAACCGTTACTTCGGCAACAATGGCACCATCGCGTGTTTGGCTGACGCCGCCAATGATGTGGCCTTCTTGAACATCAGGAATATGCGAAGTAAGTGTCATTTTTATATATATTTGAAGGTCCGACGTTTGACTACTATCTCGCCTGGTGGTAAGCGATGCTGCGGTCTACGATGGAGCACGTCGTTCCATAAGCAATCTATTCACTCGGACCTTGAAGACACCCAGGTTATACCCTTCAGGAAACACAGACTCTGGCAAAGAATTCCACTCCTTAGCAGTACGCACAAGGAAGCTTGATGGTGGCCCTATTGTGAACCTCTCGTTCTTCATCCAATAGGGAGTTAGTTAGTGTAGACGTTCAGTATTTGATAGCTGCTGTGGTTAGACAAAAAATTTAATCCCAGAATAGAAACAAGCAGATGGATCACCTGATGGTAAGCTATCAGCGCCGCCGCCAACCCGCGACACCAGAGGCGTTACCGGCCTTTTAATTTAATTATTAACACTTCTGTATATTAAACTGCACGGTTGGTGCGGTGGCTGGGCAACCGGCTGCCGTGCAACGTGTCGCGGGTTCGATTCCCGCACGGAACAACACTTTGTGTGATCCACAAATTTTTGTTTCGGGTCTGGGTGTCATGTGTATGTGAACTTGTATGTTTGTAAACGCACCCACGACACAGGAGAAAATCCTAGTGTGGGGCAACGTTTTTATTAAGAAAAAAAACATACGATGGCGGACTTAATGACGAGTGGCATTCTCTAACAGTCAACCATGGGGTGATGCAGAGATATGCATGACCCTATGCTTAAACAGGATCTTCCTTTTTTTTATTGGCATAAGCCGGTAAACGAGCAGACGGATCACCTGATGGTAAGCAATCGGCGTCGCCCATGGACACCTGGAACACCGGAGGCGTTACAAGTGCGTTACCGGCCTTTTGGGGATTAGGAGTTTGAGGATCGTTGGGAATGAGTGATTCGGGAGATTGCTCTCGCTTAAAATGATTATTTAATGTATTCTTAACATTATATTTCTTGCTTTCAGGCTACATACAGTCCCTGCAACTTCAAGAGAACCAGTTCCGTGCTCTCTGCTATAACAATTCCCTCGCCACGCGCACTGGTATCGACATCGATGATGGCTGCCTCTTGGCTCATGTTTACGACAGCGAGATTGTTGCTAGAAGGTCAGTTGTTTAATAATTTAACTATTATAATTATAAAGATCTTATAATTGGGATGATGACAGGGTATGAAAATTAAAAATCTAATTAGTCCTTAAGTAAGGTAATGAAAAAATATTAGACACGTATTTTTTTATTTTGTCGTATAATAAAACAATACTTAGATAAAACGAATCAAAGTTTAGGAGTGGAGGCTAAAACGTCATTTCTACGTATAAAATTTACATAGAAGTGACGTCACGCGACATTTCAAATCAATATATCGCCGAAAGTATTCGTTTCTGTAAGAAAATAAAATATACGTGTCTAATGATTTAAAATAATCTACCAGACGGACATTAAAATAAAAATTAGACATCTACCCTATTCGTTGGAACAATTAAGCTCTGTAATCTTCGGAATAACTAGTCCGATTTGTTTAATTCTTGCAAACGGACGAACAAATCACACTCTCTCGCGCCTTACCCAAGGCGGGGGGTATTTTCGGGTGATTTTCCCCCCTCAAACTAAAAGCGTTTATTCAACATCGGTTTTCTGTCAAACCTGAGAGAAACAACGCCATGGAAGAAGTATACATTATGTCGAACCTGTATGGTCTACATCGTGAAATCTATTTCGGTTTCGTCCCGCGGCAAAACAACTTGCCATAAAGAGATTTACTGCTAATATATTTTTGCTAATATAGCTTAAGTTATGGGTCTTAAATCTAAAAAAAATGAACATAGACAAATAACTACATAAATATTTACAACTTAAAATTAACTACAACTAAGAATACAACAAAAATTATACCCTTAATTTAGGCGTCAAAGTATTCGTCCGCATCACTATCACAAAGAGTACTTTCGTCGATGTATAAATTGAAAATAGAGAAGTCTATTTTTGACATAATAATATAACATCACGCCTTTTATGCCCGAAGGGGTAGGCAGAGGTGCACACAGAAGTAACACCCACTTTTCACTATTTATGTTATGAGTCCCATGTAATAGGGGGTGAGCCTATTGCCATATACCGAACACATTTCCAGACTCCGTGCTACCATTGAGATTTTTTTTTAAAATCCCAGTAATACTTTGTCCGACCCGGGAATCGAACCCGAGACCCCTTGCCCGGTAGTCGCACTTGCGACCACTCGGCCATCGAGGCAGTCTATATTTTAAAAGTTTAAAAAAAATCATGGATATATAATCACATGAAACACTAGACGTAAATTTGTAGGCACTATTCGCATCGCACTTGTCGCCCGACGAGAAATACTTCTTCGAGAATGACATGGCGTGATGTTTTGATAATGTACTATAAGTTCGTATGCGCTTCCGAAGTTTGATTTTTGCAATGTTTCACCAGTTATTTTTATTTGTTTGTAAAGCTGTTGTATTACCGATACAGAATCATTCTACTTCGGGACATAAACAAAATAAATTTCACGGTGTAGACGACTTATGAACTGTGTCTGACTAATATTGACAATAATAACAAAATAACTTATGCTCAATTTTCAGAAGCGACCCATACTACAACAGTTTGAGCACACTCTTCGACACCCTCGACGCATACTTCGGATACTTAGCGGCGAATGGAAACCAGCTTATCAACATAGAATTGTACTCACCCTTCAACGGAGTCTCTCACTTATTATTCAGAGACACCGCCATTGGTCTTGCTGAACCTATCAGAAACCCAGACCTTGAGCTGGCCAATAATTATATGAACCTCGTCAGCCACTTACAATCTTGCACGGGCACCACACCTCCCGTGCCTGGGCATGCCAACCGAAGTGTATACTCCATAATAACCTTATTCGTAATGGCTCTAATGACAAGATTCGTTGTCTATTAAACCATTTTCAGTGCGTATCCGAACGCACTCTTTTAGTTTTAAGTTTTTGACATTGACAGTTGTTTTGGCGGGAATTGTTTTTTTTTGTGTGAATATTTTGTTCTTTGCAATTGAATGTTTTATTTTATGATTTTCCATATAGCGTTGTGCATATCTACAGAATTTAACGTATTATTTTTATAACAGTATTCAATTAACATCACTTAAATACCTAATTAGGTAAGTATTTAAACAATATTTTATGCAATAAAGATATTTTACCTTTAGATAAGGCTATTTTATTGTAATTTGAAACAAAAGGTATATTTTTGTAGCTGATATCCTCCGATTTTTCATTAATATTGTATGTATGTATTACATATATAGGTAGAATAGTAAATAGTAAAATATAATTTAGATTAAGCTACACCGTTACCATTGTACTTTATTTGTATTTTTTGTGAATAAAATTAAACTTTTTTACTAAAAATATGCATTTTTTTTAAGCAAAGCATTTAGGCATTTATTTCAATTAAACCACAGTTTGGTACTTTTGAAACGTCAACAAATACAAAATAAATAATAGTCTGTCAGTCAGTCCGTCAGTGAAGCTAGGTGAAGCTAGGTGCTCATTCCAAAACGTAGATTCGAATGGAGAAGAACGAGTAAGAAACTCCATTCGTTACTCTCTTAAAAAGTATGTTCTACAATGTCTCTGATACATATTTCAATACTGTACGAATATGTAAGAACAATGCAAAGACACGCTTGACGCATTATACTAATAACGTACTAAAATAAAAATAAAAATAATAAAGATCTTAAGTGCTGCC